CGGGGAGCTCCCTATAATCCCTTTATAATCCTACTTTCCATTTCATGCTCCATCTTTTATTTTCCATTTGAATCTCCATTACGCTAGTTTGGGTTTTCTTTTACATTCCTTCATCCCCACTAACAACTTGGCAAGCCTTGACAAGCCTGCGTCGCGCAGCTGATGTTCCCTCACTCAGGGCTTTTAGGAGACCCCTAGCAGCGACCCCCAATCCCATTACCCTACATAACCCTGATACGGCAGTGATCCCTAGAATAGCCTTGTTTTTCACTCTAATGGAGACCCCAAAAAAACAGAACAGGAATCCAAGGACCCAGGTAAGTATTTCCCCATCATAGTCCTACTATTGTCTTGGCCTTCCCTGCTTGGAAACCCCATCAGAGTAGTGCTTTTTTGGTGGTTAAACCCAGTAAGATAATATTCCTTCTATAAAATACTATACCCCAAAAGGAGGGTATAATCTTACTCTATATTGGGTACCATAAATATCCCCAAATAAAATACTACTCATCGGACCTTTTTACTTTCTGTAGCTCGTCTTCTTTCAGCCGGAAGTGGTAACTCAGCAGCCGATCCCAGCTTCTAGCTGAATCCCTGACCCTCAAACCCCAAACCCTCAACCCTCAACTCTAAACCCTCAACCCTAAACCCTAAGTCTTAATCATCAAACCCTAAACCCTCAAACCCCAAGCCATCCTCAACCGCGAAAACCCGAGGCCCTACACCCGTGAACCCCTCGACCAGAAGCCCCAACCCCCTCAAGCCCTACTTGGAGGGTCAGGGGGACTAAGCAAGTAGGTTAATACTGGGCATAATTAGGGTTCCTATATGGGTTGTAGGAATTATTAGCCTACTTACTAAGTCTGCCTGAACCTCTAAGTACCCCAATCGAGCCCTATGCACACTCCACGTATTGCAAACTGTCCGCCGCAAACCCCAGAGAAAGGGAGCTCCGACTCCAAACCATTTCCTTTTCTTGGGAAATGATCACACTGACGTACATATAACTTCCCGCATGCAAATTTCTTACATTCAATGAGGCATCAAGAAGTAATCTGAAACAATACCTTTGAAACCTGAAACCGTGAATCCTGAAAACCCTTAAACCCTAAACCCTGAAAACCCCTCAACACCTGAAAGCTGAGAAATCAGGGGCCTGCTCTGGCTTCTTGCTGGGCACGCAACGCACCGAGAAACGAGCCTCGTTCATAGCGGCGGGGTCCTCGGCTAGGAGTCTATTTCTGTTGTTTTGTCCTATTTCTGTTGTTTTGTCCTATTTCTGTTGTTTTGTCCTATTTCTGTTGTTTTGTCCTATTTCTGTTGTTTTGTCCTATTTCTATTGTTTGTCCTATTTCTGTTGTTTGTCGGCTGTTGTCTTTCTTTGGGTTTCCAGGTCATCGGCTCTTATCATTTCTTGCACTTGATGGCGTTTAACTGTTTTTGCGTCCGTTTCCATGTCCTTGGCTACAAGCCGGGTGGCTTGGGGCTTACTGCCAGCTCGTGCCAATTCTCCGAAGCCAAGGCCGGATCAGTTTGCCAATCCAGCACCAGGCCGCGCGGTTTAGGCTTTCAGAGTTTAAGGGTTGAAGGCTTTAAGGCTTTAAGGCTTTAGGCTTCAAGGGTTTAAGGCTTTAAGGGCTTAAGGCTTTAAGGGCTTAAGGCTTTAAGGCTTTAAGCTTTAAGGGCTTGAGGCTTTAAGGCTTTAGGAGCTTAAGAGCTTAAGTTAACCGTCTAGGGTTTAAGGTTTAGGGATGCCCGTTCAAATTCTCAGCCACACATATGGCAACAGGCTGGTCGGCCCTGACCGTTCGTCATCCCGAACTCCAGAATAATACGCTGCTGAGTTTTTTTGTAACGGGGTGTAGGGTTTAGGGTTTAGGGATAAGGGTTGATGTTGGGCTTGGGGAGGTGAGTTTTAAGGCTTAAGTTTGGGGGCGGTGCTTGGAATTCTCGTGGCCCGTGTTTCATCTGCGCTCTGCCAAATCAGCTCCCCTGATGCTGAGATTATTCAGGCCCCCTAAACCCTAAACCCTAAACAGCCCCAAATTGATTAAATCCCGCTCTTGGACTTCATCAACTCCGGGAATCCCCATCCCCAGAGCAGGGTCTGGATGGGAAGGTTCCACAGAGGAGATCTAATCAAAAGTCTATCCTTGGCGGGTCTGAAAAACTTAGTAAACCCTAAACCCTAAACCCTAAGTAGGTTAATAATGGGCATAACTAAGGTTACTACTTGGGCAGTAGCATCCAAACTTCAGGAATGTTTATTGGGGCTTAGGGTGGGGGATCTAAACAAATACTGCGGGGTGTAGACCCTAAACCCTAAACCCTAAACCGACTGCAGGGATGCTTCAGGGGAGGATTTAAACAAATTCTGCAGGGTCTAGAGTGTAGGGATGTTTGCGGCTTAGGGTGGGGATTTGAACAAATCCTGCAGAGTCTAGAGCCTACTGGGTGGCTGTTAAGGAACTTAAAGTAAGTTGCCATCTTGGGTATTCATAGGGTTTCCCCAATACAGTAACTTAATTTAAGTTCCTTAACAGCAACCCAGCCTAGGGATGTTCAGGGCTTAGGGTGGGGATACATGTGACGACGCAAAAAGTGCTTTGTCTTGGACTCTCAGAGCCTTCAAGATCTTACAATTACGCTAACTTGGACCCAAACTACAGTTAACTTACATGTACTTGGAGGGTCAGGGGGACTTAGTAAGTAGGCGAATAACGCCCATAACCCATATAGTGACCTTACTTTTCCCCATTGTTGACCTTCTTACTAAGTTTGCCTGACCCTAACCCTAAGCCCTAAGCCCTAGCCTACTTCCTAAGTCCCCCATAAGACCCTGCCAGTGACCCCGTGAACTTCCTGAGAACTTATGGGCAATTCGGGCTTTAGGCCGCCCATACTGTATATCCAGCTTTTAACCCCGCTTGTAACTACCCATGCACCTGCATGGCCCTAAACCTAAAACCCTAAAATGAACAACCCTCATAGTTCTGACTTTCCCTATAAATCTCTACATACTTGTGGCTAGTATAGAACTAGGGAAAATAATCCTCATGTACCTCCTACATACTGTATTCTATCATTTATTACTAACCACCAGTACGTCTAGAATCCCTTATGACTACCCTTAAACCAAACCCAAACTGTTCAACCTTAAACTCTAAATTGTCAACCCTAAACCCTCAACCCCAAACCCTACATTTTCAACCCTCAACCCTCGAAACTAAACCCTCAACCCTAAACCCTCAACCCTAAACCTTCAACCCTAAGCCTTATACCCTCAACCCTAAAAGCTCTGGGCCCAAGCTCTTACCAGCAGTGGAGCCGTTACTACCGAACGTTTGGGTGACCGTGATGGCATGTTTGGGAGATCCTTCGTGGGAGCAATTGGTTTCGGGCAATCTGGTGGATCTAGTCATTCGGCACACGTCGTCTGGAATGTTCGCAAGTACCTGGCATGGTGGTTTGATCAAGTGTGAGGATTTGACCCCAGGCAACTGGAGTATCTTCAACTTTGAAGTGGTTGACGTACAGGGACAGGTCCTTACGATCAAAGAGACGGCCTCTTCCTTGGCATTTCCCAAGCCAGACTTGAAACTTGAGTCCTATCTTCGCCTGAAAGAGACGTGCAGCGGCATTGGGGGTATATCCATTGGGGCCGCCCTTGCAGGAAGCCACACAGTGCTTTTCTCTGAGCGTTCAGACATTGCGTGCCGCACGTTGCACAACAAAGGGTTCGTTATAGAGGGGGACATTAGTTCTGCGGAGATAAGAGCTCGCATCGCACAGCATCAGGCAGGTTCAGGTTGCGTTCTCGTCGCCGGCTTCCCATGCCAACCATACTCGCGTCAGGGTGCCGGCAGGGGACTACTCGATGAGAGGGGGCACACTCTCTTGCACATTTTGCAACTCGCGCGCCAAGCTCAGGTCGATGCCCTTATCCTCGAATGTGTTGCAGATGTTCAGAAGTACTCTGCCACCATGACTTTGATGCAGGAGTTTGCAATCCGAGCTGGCTTTCGCTTCGCAGAAGTTGTCTTAGAACTCGGGGATCAGTGGGCAGCTAAGAGGAGGCGATGGTGGGGGGTTTTCACGCCACTTTGTCTGCCCCAGTGAGAGCTTCAACCTTGGCCTACTCAGACACCAGCCACAGTCATCGGGAATATTCTTGAAGAGTGGCCTGTCTGGCCCGCTGCACATGAAGCCGAGCTTGCCTGGACCGATCAGGAGAAGGACATGTATCAAGATCCGCGCTTCGGAAGCGAGCCTAGATATCTTGACATGAAGGGGCAATCCCCCACTGCGCTTCACTCGTGGGGCTCAGCGCTCCGTCCATGTCCATGCAAATGCCGTTCAAGTGGGTTCAGTCTTCAGACTCTTGAGCAAAGGGGACTTAGAGGGGTAGGGGTTTTCTCCCAAGTCTTGCAGGACTTTCGGTTTCCCCACCCGGCTGAGGTTGGATTTCTGAATACCGTCCCTCTGGATTTTGTTCACCTTGAGGACACGAGGGCGGCCCTTTGCTTGGTCGGTCAGGTCGCAGCGCCACTTCGAGCCCTGTGGGTTTATGCACAAGTCCGCCAATGGGCGGAGCTTACCTTCACCGGGTCTAGTCAGGTTGATCCCAGCAAGCTCGTTCAGGCTTTCAAGCAAAAGTTGCTTCAGTCCAGGCAGGACTTGCGGCGTGCACCTTCCTTGGAAGTGCCAGGGTTGTTGTGGCTGTGCAGAGATGGGGTCACCTACACCGTTGGCTTGACCAAATCCACTAAGGTGCAAGAGCTTGTCGCTGCAGAGCTTGCTTTGATAGGGCCAGGCTTCAAGGTTTTTGTGTTGGAAGGCGAACGTCGCCTTCCACCCCATGCTTTCCTTCATCACAACAACTCAGCCAAGCCGTACACAATTCTTGCGCATGAAAAGAAAGCCAGAGCTCGTCTCGATACTCGCCTTTCAGCTCCGACCCCTGCCACCTGTTCAGAAAGTCATCCTGCAGCAGCTTGGGCATGTCTGATGTGACCATATGGGCCGGCCTAATGCGACTTCAGGGCATCAATCCTGATTGCCCAGTGCTTGTGCTTCCGCCAGGATGGGTGCCGTCATACCTCCAGTTGCCTGCAGCCAGCTCTCCTGCCTGTCCCATCCTTTGGCCTGAAGATGCTGCAGTTTGTGTTCTGCCCCTGCTTGCGGATGGACATTGGTCTGTCCTTGTCGTTTCCAAAGGACCCCCTGGACTTAACGGGGTCCATTTTGACGGTATCCCTGGACGCAACAGCGCTGTTGCTCAGAGCTTGTTGGAAAAGCTGGCCGGCACCTTCAGCATGCCTGTTGGAGCTTTTACTTCCACTGCACATTGGGTTCAGACCGACAGCCACTCCTGTGGATTACTTGTCTTGGCACATGTCGCTGCCTTTCTGCTGGGAGGGCCCTCCGAGCCTATTTTGGCAGATGCTGCCAGTTTCGTTGCACGTATGCCCGGGCACACAGGCACGCTGTATGGACAGGGAGGGTTGTCCGACACACAGGCCAAACAGTTAAAGGACATGCTTGTTGAGAAAGGGGTCCCGGAGGCTCAGGTCTCGGATAGGATTCAGGCCGCTGTTGCCAAGATTGGCGCAGGTCCCATTGCACAAGGATTCGCTGCCAACAATCCCTGGCAAGCTTTGAAGACTGCTGGGTCTACTCCTGCTGCTTCATTCCGTTGGGTGCGGCCTGAGGAACTCAAGGCACATGCTGAGTTCAAAGCCATGCAACAGTTTGGAGCAGCTGTAAGCAAGCCTAAATCCAAGAAGTCCACTAAGCAAGCCAAAGGTCCCAAGCCACAGCTCCAGGTCGATCCACAGGCATTGCAGCTCGCACCAAGGTCCTTCATCACCGAAGGCGGCGAGCCACTTGCTCAGCTCGGCTTTCATGAAGTCAAATCGCAAGCCCAGGGGGTTTCGTTTTGTACCGCGCAGCAACTCCTGCCATTCGCGCAGCATTTCCAAAGCCTTAGTGCTGATGCCTTGGCCCTCGTGGCCACATCAGAAATCCCCTCCGAAATGTGCGCCGGGGCCCCGTCACAGCCATATCAGGTTTCCTGTTATATACGAGCCTACAGGAGAAGCCATTCTGCTCCAAGGTTCTATGTTACAGCTAGGGGGCGAGACCGTCCAACTTGCCTCCACCGACATAGCAGAAGTCGAGAGTGTTGATGTCATTACAGGCCGGGTCTCTCTTTACAGAGACGAGCTCGCCGGAGGGTGGGAGAGTGTTGCGAAGGCCCCCATCCGGGCGCTCATTCAGCTCGTGCCTGCCCTCTCTCTATGCAAAGACCCAGCTTGCAAGGGCGACTGTCATCACTTTCACCCTTCCGTTGAAGAAAGTGTGGAAAACATGCTGGCGGATGTTTGGGCCCGACGCTTTTCAACTGCCGACGGCACTCGGGTTGAGGCAGGCAAAGCAGAGCTGTCCCAAGCACTGATTCGTGTTCCCAGTTCCGCTCTTAAACACTTGCAGCGAGCTGTCACTCCTGGATTCTACTTTGAACCCCGCTCCGGTGACGGGTACAGTGCACATGCAGGTTTCTCTGTCATCTGGCTGCCCGGCAAAGACAGGACCCAGGTGCTTCACATTGCAAGAACGACCGAGAAGGTCGTCGCCATCACACGCATCTACAGGCGTTTCGGAGGTCGAGTCAGGGAGCCAGACGAACACGCCGTACATGCCCAATTGAAGCCAGAAGTTGAGTTTGTGAAGGTGCGCATTGCAGCCCGATACCGGCTGCATCCCCTACCGCACGGGATGCAGCGCAAACACCTGGTTGCCCTGCTCAAGCAGTGGGGCTGGGCCGCGCGTCCTTTGCAGGTTCTCAAAGTCGATTCCGCAGGTTCTGCTTGGGAGGTCGGCTCCGATACTGAGCCACCAGGGCAGGCGTTGGCTGCAGCAGGCAGCTATGTTCTTGTCTCAAAGCTCCGGGACGCTTCGAGCCAAAATCGTGCCTCTGGTGTTACGGCAACTGCACGCACAAAGAAGCACATTCTCTATGACGATCCAGACACCAAGCCTGATCCTGCGCAAGGCAGTGCTGATCCCTGGCTCGGGGGACGCGATCCCTGGTCAGCATACAAGGCTCCACCTGGACTTCCTGCGCCTCCGGCCTCCACCACTGCCTCCAGTGCCGAAAGCAAATTGCAACAGGCGCGAGGGGAATTGCAAGAATCCTTTCGTAAGCAGTTTGAGGAGTACACAAATGCTCAGGCTAACAAGGTCAACCCAGACCAGGAATGTAGGCTCCAAAAGCTTGAGGTTGGCATGACAGAGCTACATGAGCAGAACCACAAGTTCCAAGATTGGTGCCAGAACCTGGGCGGCCAACTCAGCGCTCACTCCAATCAATTCGGTGAGGTGCAGCGTGCGGTTCATGCTCAACAGGCCGAGGTTGGGCAACTCAGGTCCGAGTTCACCCAGGTTGTTGCAAGCAGTGTTTCCAACCTCCAACAAGACATGTCTCGGCAGCTCTCCTCGCAGATGCAGCAGATTGAGAGTTTGTTGAGTAAGAAGCCTCGCACCGAGTGACTAGGGCGCTCCAGCTATCGCTTTGGGCTTTGCGGTAGGCTGGCAACTTTGCTTCGCCCTTTCTTTGTTCAGCTTCTGCTCGTCTTGACCATGTTTCAGGCCGTGCCGGTTCACGGTTTTCTGCACGCTGATGCTGCCTCCCTGCGGGTTGGGGAGGCCAGCCATCCTGGCCCTGACAGTGGGCATGCTTTTTGCATTGGCACCTCCAATCTGTCTGGACTTCGGTCCAAAGAATCTTTTGCTGTTGATCTTGGCCCGGGGGTTTTTCACTACAGTGAAACGCAGCTTTCTGAGGCCACTGTTCGCACTTGCACCGCTACCTTGAAAAGCCTTGCTGCGCAGCAGAATCGTGACCTCAGGGTCACCGTCGGGGCTCCTGCACCATTGCGTCCGGGATCGCAATGGGCCGGCGCCTGGTCCGGGGTACTCACCACAAGCGATGTCCCATGTCGGCCTTTGCAGCTCCAATGGCTTCATGACAGCTATCAGACTGGGAGACTGCAAGCAACTTTCCATGCCGTTGGCGACACTCCAGTGCTCACTGCTAACGTGTATGGGTATCCTTCCGGGTACACGCATGAGAACCCTCGTCAGAAAACGGATTTCCTTCTTGAGACATTAACGAAAGAAATTGTGCTTGGCCGCTCTGGCATTTGCACCATCTCCGGGGACTTCAATCATAATCCCGAAACTCTGGAACAGGTCGCTCTTTGGAAGCAGCACGGGTGGCGATGTGCCCAGTCTTTGGCATTTGAGCGTTGGGGCCGTGAGCCTTGTTCGACTTGCAAGGGCGCAACCATCCGGGACTTCGTGTTTCTTAGTCCGGAAGCCGCCTCTCTTCTCCAATGGGTCGAGACCAAAGACGTTTTTGCTGAACATAGCACCGTAATTGCTGGGCTCTCTTTGGTTGGGGTAGAAACCATACGAGCCTGGCCACAGCCTGCTGAGATTCCCTGGTCGCATGTTGACATTCAGCAGTGGCACGATAGTTGCACAGCGGCTGCGCTCCCGGACAGTTGTCCGACTACTTGGCTTCAGCAATTTGGTCAGCGCTTTGAGCACAGTCTGGATGGCCACTGCTCAGGGATACCCGGTGGAAGTCTTCCAGCCAAATGTCATGGCAGGGGCAGGCTCTTCAGCCACGGAAAGTTCCCGTAGTTTGCCCTCCAAAGCCTTCTCGTGCCGGAGAAGAAAGTGCCACGCACAGTCTTCTTTCGTTGGAGACCAAGAGATGGTTTCAACAACTTCGTCGTCTCCAGTCCTTGCATCAGGCCCTCAAGTCTGGCAAGATGACAGCGTCAGCAGTGGAGTACAGACTTGGTCTTTGGTCTTCCATCAAGGCTGCCACTGGATTTCGGCCCCACTGCTGTGCTTGGAGGCCCCATAGGATGGTCCGTTTACAGGGGTCCCCTGCAACCATGCCGGTATCCCTTCCAAATGCTGCCACCGCTCATTTGGTTTTCTTGGACTTCCGGGAAAACTACTGTAGGTTTGAGGCTTGGAATGTGCGGCAACGGTCTCGCATTTTGTGCGAACACTACGAACACAGCAAAACAAAGCTGTATCAAGACTTGCGAGATTCTGCTCCTAGCAAAGTTGACACCTTGGTCCTGCACCGCGAGCATAATGTTGTTGATGTGGATGTGTTCACTTCCCAGGTCCATGTTGACTTGCCCATTGATAATCGGGGCTCCTCCACTTGGTCACTTGACGGCCAGCCAGTTGAAGTGGAGGTGGTTTCCCAGCATTGTTGCGCTATCCATGGCGCATCCTCTTTGTTTTCTGCAGCTGAGCTTGAGCAAATACAGACGCTCTCCTCAGTCAAGGACTTGGTTTCTGAATTTAATAACTTGTGGGGCCCTCGATGGCAGAAGCACGCCACATGTGCTCCGGAGGATTGGCAGCGCGCGCTGGACTTTGCGGCTGCACATCTGCCCTCTGGTAGTCTTGAGCTTCCTCCCCTGACTTTGCTAATGTGGAAGAAGGCACTTGCTCGCTGCAAGCCGTGGGCCGCACGGGGCCCAGACGGCTTCGCTGCACAAGACTTGAAGGTCATGCCTGATTGTCTCACTCTGCAATTGCTGAGTTTTCTGACTGCCTTGGAGAATGGCGATCAGGATTGGTTTTCCAAAGAGTATCCTGCTCCCATGGCGCAAATTTCTTTCGGGACTATCACGGCACTTCTTGGTCCGCCGACATGTGGGGGAGGCTCTTCATAGCACCTCTGGTTTTCCAGAGGGATGTGGGCTCAGTACAGTGGCAATGAATGTTGCATGCCTGGTCTTTCATCATTACATTGAATCCTACGCAGCCAGCGTCACGCCGCATAGCTATGTGGACAACTTGTCGTGCACTGCAACGCAGGTCGGAGCCCTTGCACAAGGCATTACGTCTGTTCGGTGTTTCCTTGACCTTCTTGACCTGCAGGCTGACGCTTCCAAAACTTGTGTGTGGGCAGTGCAGCCTGCGCAACGCGCCCAGCTTAAGGCTCTTGGACTTCCGGTTCTCCAATCCGCTAGGTGTCATTTCCTATGGCAAAACAGTACGGAATGCTTTGCTGGTCCGTCGCTGTAAGGATTTAGAGCCTGTGTTTGCCAAACTGCGAAGGTCCCCTGCACCGCTGGCTCAAAAGCTGGCCGCCTTGCCGCGTAAGCTGTGGTCCCGTGCTCTCCATGGCATTTCAGGTTGCCCGCTTGCAGAGAGCCAGCTTGCTTCCTTGCGTGCAGCCGCTGTTCGCACACTCCATGTCAATGCAGCGGGCAGCAGTGCCCTTCTGAGGCTTTCCATTGGACTTGATCTTACCTGTGACGCAGGATTTTACCAATTGTGGGTCGTTCTTTCCGATCTCCGCAGGATGTGCCGCAAACATGCATCGGCTCTGCGTCGATGGCAACTGTTCATGCGTTGGTACAATGGGGAGCCTGGTCATGGGCCCTTTCACAAGTTGCTGCATGTTCTTTCGCAGATCGGCTGGACGGTTGACGCTGCACCGCAGGTCATTGACCATGAAGGTTTGCACTTGGACGTACTTGCCATCCCTGCTGGGCTTCTACGTCGTAGGCTCGAAGCTGCCTGGTTGAGGTACGTTGCTTTGTCACATGCCCACAGGCCTTCGATGGCAGGTTTGCCGTCCATTGATCCTGGCCTTCTTCGCCAGGATGTTGCTCATCTGTCTCCTTTGGATTGCGCGCGGCTTTCAGCTTTTGGGTTCTGGGGCCTTCTTGTTCGATCATGCACATTCCAAATTTGACTTGTCCAAAACTGGACTTTGTGTGCGTTGCGCCGTCCCTGACACTCGTGAGCACCGAGTTTGCGCGTGTCCTTTGTATGACGACATTCGGGCCCCTTTTGCCTGGGTTTGCGAAGAATGGAATCGTCTTCCTCCGTGCCTCTCTCATCACATCTTGCCACCTGCCAATCCCCATTTGCCTGAGCTGCGCCGTAAGTTGCTTGGTCTTCCGGACTTGTCGGGGGACTTCTTTTCCACCACTGCCTTGAACGACAAGCAGCACCTTTTCACAGACGGCTCCTGCTTGATGCAAACGCAGGCCGACTTTGCATTGGCGGCTTGGGGTGTTGTTAAATGCTACATCCGGTTGCACAGTCAGTTCCGGCCCTGTTCCCGGCCTCTCCCAAAGTGCTCCACGTGCTGAACTGTGGGCTCTTATCTCCGCTTTAAAATGGGGTTTAAGGGTTAGGGTTGCAGTTGTGATTTGGACAGACTTACTGAAGGGTGCTGAGGGCATCCGGTGCTTGCTGGAAGATCCTGCATGGCTGCCACGCACGAACATCGATCTCTGGAAGCAGATTGCAGAACTGGTTAGGTGCTTCAATCATGAATCCTTGGATGTTCAGCATGTCCCTAGTCACCTGGAGAGAAATGCTTGCGAGTCACCCTTGGAGGAATGGCTGGCCGATTGGAACAATCGAGTTGACCGACTGGCTGGACAGACCAACTTGAATCGAGACGTTGAACTTGCAGAGGTTCACGCCAAGGCCATGGCATATCATCAGCGGATTACTGAAACGATGCGAGCCTTGCGTGGCATTTACTTCGGCATCGCTGAGCGCACTGCCCACAGGTGTGGGACTTCTGCAGTCGACGATTCTTTGGAAGACACGCATGTCGAGCCACAGCAGGCTATCGCAGTGATCCGTCTACACGAGGAGCTTCCACTCAATTGGGTGCACACCGCGTTTACCACATGCCCTGACGTACCTGAGAGTTTTGTACAGCAAGTGTGCCAGTTTTTAGTTGATCAGGACATGTCCTCTCCCAGCTGCTTCGAGGTTTCTTGGGTCGAGCTTCTGGTTATGGTTTCTGTTTTTGGTGGGTTTTCTTTTCCTACTCAGTGTAGAGTTAGTGGAGCATGGAGAGAAAGGCAGTTTTTGCCATTGGCGCCGGCCCTGACCTTTGCCGTACAGCTTAGATTGCTTAGGTCAATTTGGCGGCGCTCCCTTGGAGCTGCCCTGCTAGAACAGTTCGCTGTTAGGAGTTTGGACCGCAGTGATTGTGGGGTTTTGTTTCCCCTTGATGGCTTGATGATCGGTTGTAACAGGGAACTGCTTCTCCAGGCTGGGCAGGCTCTAAAGAGTTGGGCTGTTCCTCCAGTACGCACTGTGGGACAGCTTGCTCGCACGTTTCACTTTTGAGAACGGACCACAGACCTATGCTTGCGGCACTGCACTCCGCCGTGCCCAGGCCCTCAGGCGTTGTGAGATATACCCTCAACCCTAAATCTTCAACCCTAAGCCTTATACCCTAAACCCTAAACCTTCAACCCTAAGCTCTCAACATTAAACCCTACTTGGAGGGTCAGGGAGACTTAGTAAGTATGTTAATAACCCCTATAACCCATGTAGTAACTCTAATTATCCCCATTATTAACCCATTTACTAAGTCCCCATGACCCTCCAAGTAAACCCCACGAACCTCCGAGCAGTGCAGGCCCAAGCTCGCAAAGGCGACTGAACAGGTTCTCTGCGTGCTTCACCTGGGG